TTATTATACTCACGAATTAAAAGAACGCAAATAAAATGAAATTAAGTTGTTAAAATTCATAAACGACTAGTTTTAAATACAGTATTTAGATTCTATACTCACGAACCGAAATCAAAATCTATTCACAAATTCGAGTAACTTTATTTTATACTCTTAGATTAATAAAGGCTCTTTATATTTGAGCAAATTTAAACTCGAGGAATTTATATACGTTAATATAAAAAAAAACAATTTATTTTTTTTTAGAAAGCCGTCCGGCTGGGTTATGAGAACCAATTTTATTCTTTGCACGGACCTTAATTTAATGCTTATAACTTTTTTTATTTCGAATATAGAAAGAATCTAATTTAGATTTATTTTTGGTGAAAAAAGATTTAAAATTAGTGGCTTTCTTATTGTAAGTTTATGCACTATACAAAACCCAAGTGTTAATCGATCTAAAAAAAATAATGAGTGATTAACCCGCTGATCATCATTTTCACCATCACGAATGTAGTGTAATCTGTTATTTTTCTTCACTATTAACTACAGGTATAACCACAGCGGTTTAATTTTTAGTAGCAGGATGTCAAGTGGTTTCTATGCAAGATCACTCGTTGTATTAGCTTTAGCTGGTGAATTATTAATATAGAATGATGAAATTTTTGATATTAGAATGTTGAATTTGCTATAAAAGAATTTTTTGGGCGAGTATTTTTTCATCATTGATTTGTGACTCTAAAATTTCTAAAATTTTATCATCGGATAGAAAATCATTTCTTGCATTGATTAGTTGAGAAATTTTTTGTGAAACATTCACATCTTTGTTCATGAAATTTGCAACAAATCGAAGAGAATGTACAACCCATATCAAGAAATCAATGAAAATCGCACCATCTGGCAGTATAAAAAGGTTATAAAATCTATAATATCCTTACGTGGTCAATTGTTAGCTTTGTAATATAATTTCTAAAACGAATCATAAATCGAATTATTTATTTTATAAATTTAGAAAACAAAGCCAACGATTGTGCATAATTGTGTTAATCAGTACTTACAAATAGTATATAATTTGCATACAATTTATGAAATCCATTAAAACTGGCAGTTTTGGTAGTGAAAGAGTATTTTCGTGATATGCATAATAATCTTGTACAGGCCTTGGTAAATAATTCCTTGGCTAAGAGATGAATAATTTTTGTTGATAGGTTTTTAATAAAATTGGATTTGGCTATGCTAATGCATTCTTCAAGTTTCTTTGCAAAAATCCAATCAATATTATCAACAGATAATGACTACGCAAAGAACTTGGTTAGCAAAGGAAAACATACTAGATCCAGCACCCACATCCAACATATGGAATTCATCAGTTGCAGAAGTATTATTAATGACTTATGTAATGAGGGAATCATAAGTTCGCGATTGTCAGTGCTCAAGATATCTGATGCAGATTGTAAGGTCGTTACACCACGTTTGAGTGCCAAGTTCCTCTTGAGATATTTCGGAAACTGTCTTCTAGAATTATGAATTGTAATTTTGAATAAGTTCAATAGGTGCAGCATGGAAGACATTCGTTGATGAAATCGTACGTTACACTGGGTATAACTATATGTGCACGTACGTACGTACCTTTACAGTACAGGAATTTTTAAATCAACATATAAAACAATCCTTAAATTGGTACGTATAAAAAAAATAGCTAGTATATAGCTAGAACAATTTTTCTTTTAAAGAATAAAGTTATGAAATTCGATTTTTAATTTAATAAATTTTGATATTTTTATAAAGCTTTAAAGTTAACTATTTTTTACTAATAAAATTAAAATTTAGCCACCATAATTCTGAACAAAATTATCATAATTCTGGCCAGAATTATAAAAAAAAAAAAATTTAAATATTAAGATTATTAACATAGTATATACAACATAGCCATAAAATTTGGCCACTATTATTAAGGATTCCTGCACTATATTAAGGGTTTTTTTTTCGTGAATTTATGATCGGGATAGTGATCGGATTATTTGTTTATCCACTATTTTTTATACAGTATACTGTAGTAAGAATCTATTTATAACGTCAATTTTAAATTTCAAACTGACTCTTTATAAAGTGTAAAAAAAAAAACCTTAATAATTAAATTTTTATAAGGTACACACATAATTTTGATTTACATAGTTGAAAAATACCTAATGTTACACAATGTGTTTGATACTAATTTATAAAATTAGTAATTAAAATGTCTCGAAGAATATATATATGTTTAAAATAGGTAATACGTAGTAATACTGTAATAAATCTTAACGGTGGCTACATCTATTAAATTTCGTCTGTTCAATTCCTTACACATTTCTCAGAAGCTTAAGAACCTTCAATTAGACGTAAAATAGTCTCTAAAATTAAAAAAATTGGATAATTGAAGTTATTCCTAGTAAAACCGGTTTCCCACCGGAAAGTTAATAAATTATAGTAACACGATCGACAATCTAATAACGTGAGGTTTAATCATCATGATTTTTTTTTTCCTAAAACATGTAATAAAACCCATTTCTTAAGATGGAATTGAAATCTACCAATTTTAGATATCAAACGCACTGCATCATTAATAAATTAGCTTGCTGCATTAGGCTAACTCTGCAGAGTTTTTAACGAATTCGAGAAGTTTATCTAAATCATTCAGAAATCATTTGCGTGGCCAAGAACCTTTGAGGAAACAATATCCATAGTAGAACTCTACAAAATAAATTAATTGATTGGATCACAAAAAGCGTCTTGATAATTTCGTCTTGACGCACGATACTGCAATGCTAAATTATTTCTATTTTTGAGAGTAATTAATTAGTATGCGTATAAATCTCAGTATCACAGAATTTTTTTTTTTTTCCGATAAAATAAAACGTTTGCTGTCTATAAATCTCATGTGCGAAAAGGACTCTCATTGACGCCATACGTTTGTCAATTCCGTTTAGTTCAAAAAAAATCTCTCCTTTCTTTAATTCCTCCCTTTGTAATTAACATGGTGAACTTCCGATTGTTAAGAAATTCATCCAGTAACCTCCATCTTTCCCTTTTCTCATTACAGCTTCATTTTGTTGTTATTTGGCTTCTATGTGTTGCTTTGTTTGTTGATGCGGGTAAGAATTATGGAAAAAGCCATTTACCTTTTCGTAAAAGCCATTTACCTTTTCGTAAAAGCCATTTACCTCTTCAAAAAAGTCAATTACCCATTCATGAAAAAAGTCAGTTACCCGTTCATGAAAAAATTCCGTTACCCATTAATGAAAAAAATCAGTTACCCATTCATGAAAAAAATCCATTACCCATTAATGAAAAAAGCCGATTATCCCTTAATAAATGTATGCATTATGTTTACCCACCCTAAATACACGCTAAGTTTCAATCTCAAACTTATAGAACTCTTAATAAAAATGCCCTCAACGAATTTACATTTAGGGAGGGTTGATATAATCTCATTACGCATAATCGTTAGCATACTCACGTGATTACTTTTTTTTTTTTATTAGCGCCATTGTCGATAAGTTTAAATTTGTCGCCGTCAAATTCAAATTCAAATTCAAATCAGAACTTCTCTTCCAGTAATTTGTGTGATCCTAATGTGAAACAGGTTAGTGTCAAAGAATACTTTACTGCGAGATTAAATATATAAATATATAATATATATGCTGATAAGTTCAAATAATTCATAATAGTATTCTGGTTATATACAAACTTCTGACGGTACAAACATGTTTTTTTGGTTCTTCGAATCGCGAAATAATCCGATGAGCTCTCCTCTCACATTATACCTTAACGGTGGTCCCGGGTGTTCTTCGATGATTGGGGCATTTCAAGAAATGGGGCCTTGTACCTCTCTACCAAACGGAACTAATACCACCATAAATCCTAATAGTTGGAACACTGTTTCAAATCTATTATTTATTGACCAGGTTTGTCAAATTTTTGCAACATTTAATAAAATTTTTTTATACATATCAGATATATCTGGATCGAAATGACAAATTTTTTTCATTCTATCAGCCAAACGGTGCTGGATTTTCGTATGGCGGCAATTATGTGACGTCATCACAACAAGCAGCATCCAATCTTTATGAATTCTTGAAGGAGTGGATTTCTTGCTTCCCACAATACGCGAGTTTACCCTTCCATATATTCGGTGAATCTTATGCAGGCCGTTATAGTAAGCAAATTTTATTCTATGGCTTTAATTGTCTGCTATATATATAGTGATTAATTGTTTATTTTATTTTCTATTATTTAGTTCCTATCTTAGCATCAATGATATTATGCAATACTACTGATGTGTCGGTACTTAATGTACAAACCCCATTGCTTTCTCTCAATGTTGGTTCACAAAGCCCAATGATGAATCTCAAAACTATTGGGATTGGTGACGGATGGATGGATCCTATGCGCCAATAGTAAGATTTTTTCGATTGTTTGTTTATATATATTATTCAAATATACAAATTTTTATAGCATTGACGCTTTTATTTATTATAAAGTGCTTCACTTATAGATTATTCACAACAAAATTCTTGTAAGTTTTATTTATAATTTTATGATATTATCAAAAATTTATTCTAAATAAGTTTTATTCTATATTAAATTTTACAGTACTTACTTCCGATGTTATTGCAAACATGAGTGCGGCATATCCAACATGTAAAAGCCTACGTAAGTCAAAATTTTTCACATGAATTTTCAGAAATTCAAATCACATGACTTTCAATTAATTTTTCATGCATCTTTTATTTATAGTCTCAACATGTTATAACACTAGTACTAATCAAGACTGCAGTAATGCTGATGACTATTGCTACAATAATGTTTTCACTCCGTTCGTCTCAAATTTAAATTGCAATATCGATGACATTAAAGCGACTTGGGATAGTTCACCAGACGAGGATTATCTCAATTACTTGGCCAGGCCCGAAGTTATGAGTGCAATTGGTGTTAAAACACCATATACCGAATGTTCCAACGACGCCTATATGGCTTTTACGGAGACTGCGGATTTGCAAGTGTTGATTTTCTCGTACATGTTATTGGACACGTAATGGTTGTTTATTAATAATAGTATTCTTTTAAAATTAACAGTGCAAGGTCCACTATGCCCCAAATTGCCCAAATTCTTAATGCTGGTATTCCTACTTTACTTTACTTTGGTGATTCCGATGCAAATTGTAATTGGTAAGAATTTATATTATATGATATTATTGCTTCATATTTAAATTGCATCTTTAAATTGCATCTTTAAATTGTATCTTTAAATTGTATCTTTAAATTGCATCTTTAAATTGTATCTTTAAATTGTATCTTTAAATTGTATCTTTAAATTGCATCTTAACATTTTCTACTAAACCAGGATTGGTGGACTGAATATATCTAAATCTCTCAATTGGAAATATCAAACCAATTTTAATTCTGCGACATTACGAAAATTTATAGTCAATAATCAACCAGTTGGTCAAGTTCAATCTTCAAATGGTTTAACTTTTCTCAAAATGAATCAAGCTGGACATGAAGTACCATATTATCAACCACAAAATTCACTCCAGATGTTTACTCGTTGGATAAATAATAAACAAATGTAATTTATACATACTAGTTATTATCACTATTATTATTGTAATCGTAATTTTAAATTTTATTTGCAAAGGGGACATTATATAGATAATAATTTGTCAACTTTTTAAGTTGTCAAATAATAATTATGAAAAAAAGTAAATCTTACAACTTTTTTTTTTTTTAAAGTCCAAAAGAGATTTAGAAAATAGTTTATTTTTTGTAACTACAGTATATTTTTGTAACTACAATATTAGATGTTTGGTCAATTTTCTTTATAAATATATAAAGTAATAATTTAAACCTTTGAAACTAAATTATATGTAGTGTAAGTAAAATAAGCAAGTTTATTTAAATGCAAAATGCAATTATTTTAAAATTTAAATAAATTTAGAAGAAAAGTTACTGTATTAAACATTTGGATTTAATGAAAGTACAGTACAAGATATTGTTAATTTTTCAATCAAAAATTTGTTGTGCGAATATTGCAACTGATTTAACTATTGTATATACTGTACGTACACTATTTATATAGTACTAAATTATATTTTATCTTACTAATATTATGTTTAATTATAATCTGATATAAAAATACTAAAAGTTAAATTATAAATTTTAATTAATCAAACAATTGAAAAATCACCTGATTTTACATGATATGACCTGCAAAGGCTGCCAAATTAGTCAAAGATCTTGTGCCTTCGGACTTGAAATAAACTTGAAATTTCGAGATTGACTTTGCAAATTTCGACAATGGGGGTTTCGGAATTAACTTTTTTTTCTAAATAAGTGGGAGTTTAAAAGGTCCTATTGAATTCTGAATCAGAATTTGTACGTTGTTTATTTTGGCACGTCTCAAATCTGTGCAAAGAGATTAAGTGCAAATTTTAATTTACTTTATATTCAATATTTAGTTTACTTTATATTCGATATTTAGTTATACCCATATATCTAAAATTTCGTGCTAAAAACTTTTGTTTAGAAGTCAAACTACGGTTATCATAGTAAAATCTTGAGTTATTTACGAATTTTATGTTTTCTCAATGAGAAGACAGAAAATTCGTAAATAATTCAAGATTTTACTATGATAACCGTAGTTTGACTTCTAAACAAAAGTTTTCAGCACGAAATTTTATACATATGGGTATAACTAAATATTGAATATAAAGTAAATTAAAATCTGCACTTAATCTCTTTCGATTTGGTGATCGGCACAGATTTGAGACATGCATACAAAACGAATTATTATTGCTCGATCAGTTGACTTTATTTTCACGAAGAAGAAACACTCTGCCTACAACAGCCACAAAGCCTAACTATAGTAACAAAGTTAAATTTAGATTTTGTTGTTTAATATCTGGAATAAAATTATTTTAAAAAACGGGGCACTCTATTTACAATTGAATTACGCTAGAATTTATAATTTATGTATCTCTTTTTCTTTTTAGTAGGTTATTTTTTGCAATAATTAATTCATGCATTCTTTTTTCTATTTCAAGCTCCCTTTTCTTAATTTCTAATGATATCATTTCTTCATCTATTTCATCGATATTATAATCTATATCCATATCCATTTCTGAGTTATTGACATGCTTTTTTTTTATTTTTTTAAAATAGTTTTTTTCTTGAATTTCTTGAATTTCTTGTAAAAAGTTGGGTTGTTTGAATTCATCTTTTGCTTGAATTTCTTGAATTTCTTGTAAAAAGTTGGGTTGTTTGAATTCATCTTTTGCTTGGGTAATTTTTTCTTGAGTTTCTTGTAGAACAGAAAAATTTTTTTGATTGATTTGTTCAGGTTTGCTTTTTGTTTGAACTTGAGCTACCTCTGGAGTTTCTTGTAAAGTGAAAATGGAACTTTCAAGATTTACATGCTCGGTATTATTTTGATTTATTTTCTTTCCAGCCTGTATAGCTGATATCTTGAATGTTGTTTCATCAATTTCTAAACAATCATCATCAATTTCTAAACAATCATCATCAATTTCCATTTTGAAAAATACTAAAATTATAATGAATAAAAAATCAGTTTTTAACTTTATAAAGATAATATAATAATTCTCCTTTTGATATCTTTTAAAAACTCAAAATTTCTTTTACTTTAAGTGTCTCTAAAAGATATCCAAAGGAGTTATTAAAATTATTAATACCTTGCGGTTCTTCAGATTTCTTCTTTATACAGGTTTGTTGTTGCTGATCAATAGTCTCTTCTTTTCTTAAAATATTATTATTATTTACAAGTTTAGGCTCTATATTTTGCTTCATTCTCTCTCCCTTACTATTTATATTTAAAGACTTAATATTATCTTCTTGTAAATGGTTTAAAATTAATTTATTATTTAAATATAAAGAAATTTCAAATTAGCTATTAGAGTTCATGTTTTTTAAACAAATTTAGTAAATAACAGTTTAATTACCTCTATTAAAATTATTAACTTCATTTTTAAGTGTTTCAGTAAGATATCCAAAAGAATTATTAGAGTTACTAATACTTTGTAGTTTATCAAATTGCTTCTTTATACTGTCTTGCTGTTGCTGGTAAATATTATCTTCTTTTCTTTGAATTTTATTATTATTTACATGTTTAGGCTCTAAAATTTGCTTCATTTTCTCTCCCTTGGTATTTACATTTGAAGATTTAATATTATCCTTTTGCAAAAATTCTTGAATCGAAGGATTTTATTTAAAAGAAAAAATTCTAGATTAGCTACCAGAGTTTATGCTTTTTTTATAAATTAAATTTAATTTATAACAATTTAATTACCTCTATTGAAAGAATTCATTTCACTTCTAAATGCCTCTGTAGGATATCCAAAAGAGTTATTAATGTAACTAATACCTTGTAGTTTATAAGATTGCTTCTTTTGTTGTTGCTGGTAAGTATTTTCTTCTTTTCTTAGAATATTATTATTATTTACTACTTTGGGCTCTATATTTTGCTTCATTTTCTCTCCCTTGCTATTTACACTTGAAAACTCAATATTATCCTCTTGTAAAGGTTCTTAAATCAAATTATATCATATAAAAAAAAAAGAGAAAATCCAGATTAGTATCAGAGTTCGTGCTTTCCTTTTTTGACCAAATTTTAAAAATGACAATTTAATTACCTCTATTAGAATTATCATTGTACTCTTTTTCTAGTTGTCTCCAATAAGCTATAGTTGGATTCCAGAGATTTTTATTCCTGAATAATCCTCTGATTTGATCATTACTTAAATTATATTCTTTTAGAATTTTCTCAAGCCGAAATTCTTGGCCAGAAGACAAATCTTCATGAGGAATATTACTAAAAACAGAGGTCATTGTTTGATATTTTAAGCCATAGTCACCATAAGAGCCATCGGTTATAGTTTTTTTATTATGTTTAAGGTTAAAGTTACGAACAAAAAATGAGTATTTTGATTGAATTTGTGCCAAATTTGAATTCCAAATTGCTGAAGCTAAGCTTGAAGATGTCTTAACATCTAAGCGTATCCTCACAAGTTGTAATGCATTATTAAATATAATTCTAAACGTAATAAAACTATTGAGTTCTTTTTTACTTGAAGTAGCTGTAGCAAGATGCATCTTAGGATAAGAAAGTAGGGCTGAGAAAATTAAATGTGAACAACAAAGGCTTTTAAATAGAATAAATTATTAAACGTATAAATTTATAATAACGAAAGAATTAAACAATAAAAATTTTATCCGCAGATGGCCTACGAACTGATCTTATCTACTGATAATCTTACCAAATGATTTCATTGATGCAACGTAATTTTTTAGAGCAACTAATTGATGTTAAGACTGGGACTAATTTCTAATAAAACACCAACAGCATATGAAACCTAACTTTTACGTGAATAAATACCCTTTTTTATCTTAATTAAAAAAGGACGTAGTAAACGCCAAACCAAAGCTAAACTCGATTTGGTTAGTTAAACAAAATTATACTCAAAATGGATACAATAAGAGATACTGTTTGCAATTAGAGTTCGGATGAAATCCATTTCAAAAACTTTTCATTATAACTAAAAAAAGATTAATTAAATTACAGACATAAATTCGAAAACAACAAACTAGCTTCTTTTTAGAGAATGATATGCACTGATAACAGTGATAAGGTCACTTGAATCCACGATCAAATAGTTCAAATATGCAATTGCTTTGCATAGTCTTTACCGCCTAACTCCTTGAAAAGGCTTATCGGAACTTTTTAAGATATTTCTCCTTATTCACTTTATCGTGATAAAAAAAATCATTGATAACTTTTTACTTATTTATTGCAACAATTTTAAGAAACTAAAATAAATTCTTTGTTGTTTAATAAATTATTGTGATCGGCAATACTTTCATGCCTCACATGATTGTTGACTAAGCGAAACTCAAAATCTTCACTGTTATTTATGTAGAATGAGAATAATCTAAAATGACTTTGTGAACTAACTCTTATTTACAGTTAGAGCCAAATGTTGTTTGTAGAATTTATTGTCACTTGTTTATAGCAGCATGAAATTCCTTCTTTAGAAGCCAAGTCATCGAGCTTTCTAAATCATTAACTCTTCTTGACAAATTATCGCTGTTTTCGAAATAGTTGAAAATGGCAAAATTTTTTTTCGATGTACGTACACCCGATTAGCTTAGAATATTGATTGAAGGTCGATGCCGATTTTATGTAATTCTGTAATTGTTCACCAAACAATGGTCATTTGTATTGGTGAACAATTACAGAATTACATAAAATCGGGCATTGACCTTCAATCAATGTTCTAAGCTAATCGGGTGTACTGGTGTTCGGGTGTACGTCGAAAAAAAAAAATTTATTTGCCATTTTCAACTATTTCGAAAACAGCGATAATCAATAGCACATTAAAACCAAGACGATTGCCTAAAATAAGAATGTTCACAGCTTCTAGTAGTAGTTGAGTTAATATTTAATACTTTCTATTAATGTTAACTGGGATGTTTCTGTGAGGCATTCTAATAGATTACACATTTGCGGCTATAAACAAGTGTTTCCTCACAAAAAGCATGTGATGAATAGCTATAATAATAATTTATTTTACGGGCTTACATTAACTTTTTTACTATTCGAAGCAAGCAAGATGAATTTTTTGCTTACTAATTAAAAAGATTAACATAGTTGTGAGTGGGTGCACGTTTCATTCCAATTAGAAAAAGATAGATACATTCTCCATCTTTAACTATGTCTATACGCATAATAATTATGATTATTTTCAAGTAAAATAAAAATGTTAGAATTACGTGTAAATGTTTTATTGTTTTAAAAAACTTAGGGCTATAAGTACATAGAATGTAAATTATCTCTTCAATAAATGCAAAATTACATAATTTACAACTTAAAATTCATAGTCGTAATGTCTATATTAGCCAGTGAACAATTGCCTAGTTGAATAGCTTATTTTTTATTAAAAAAATATTTTGATAGAGCGGTACCAAATTTGCTTTTGTTAAGAGCGAAGTTATAAAAAAAAAATGGTTGCAAACTATTTAAACTAAGTGTACCAGAATCAACACTTACTCACCATAATTCTTAAACAAAATTTTGTATACCATTTCTTGTGGATATAATAAATCTTCTTATTTTTCTTAAAATAAAGCTCAAAATAATAGTCTTCATCTATTGCAAAGAAAAATGGATCGGATCGGTACGGGTTGGTTTCGGATAGGCACGGGTCAAGATCCGGATTTGTACGGGTATGGTCCAAGTTGGTACGGATTCAGTGGTCCGTGTGGGACCGTATGCCCGTGCCAATTGGACCGTAAATGGTACGTACGGGTTTTGTAGCAGTTTACTAGTCGAATCGGCACGGGATTTGGCACGGGTATTGATACGTAATTCACGTGCCACCACAATAGGGAAAAATGGCACGGCAAAAAAAATTTGGCATGCTATTGCTAAAAGTCATGCCAAGATACCACCCTGGCATGCCATTATATCAATAGTTAATTTAGATTGGTCAGTTATCATAAATATATAGACCTCTTCGGAATATTTCGGAATGTTTCGGAATCTTGACCTCAACCTTTCTCGATTCTCAGAATATTTCAAAATAACATATAAATGGCATGTCCTGTTAACTATTTGAGTATTAGGCATGCCCATGACCTCTGTGCCACTTTTCCTACACCACAATAACAAATAACAAACACGGTAAAACCTAAAATTTACATTAGTAATCAATATAATATGAACAAACTAACTGCATGTGAAATAAGATTTTGTAAGGAATCTTTTTTGTTAAGATACTCAAAGCAGCTTTATCAGTGAAATTATGAGATATTGCACTTTTTTTAAAAAAAGTCATTTATTGATCTTTCGCTCTCTGCGAAACGAGCCAACACGCGCGCAACGTACACATACGTGTCGTCTGAACGTGTTGTTCCGTATGATATGATATAGCATGCCACCCTTGCCGCAATGTCCGTGCCATTTTTACCGTGCCATTCCGTAAAACGTGCCTGCGTGTGCCACACAATCCGTGCCATTCTGTAAAATGTGTGTGCCACACAATCCGTGCCATTCTGTAAAATATGTGTGCCACACAATCCGTGCCATTCTGTAAAATATGGGGGCTGCCAGTAGAAACCAAGCAAATTGTTTTTAATGAGTTTTTTTAAAATTTTAAATCAAAATATCTCAACAACTATTAA